ATGAGTTGCTAAAAAAAGAAAAAATAAATTAATGAGTAAGGTTATTTTGTTTTTTCTTTTTTCTTTGCAAAAAATGAGTAAGGTATTTCATACCCTTCTAATTTGATACATTACAAGTTTGTTTTTTTTTTTTTAAGAACATACATCACAAGTTAAAGTAATCAAAGTTATTTTTTATAAGATACTCTATTTTATGGTTGAGGTCATAGTAACATTATCTTCTACCAATAAGGTATTAAAAAAAAAACTTCAACCAATAATTCCAAAAAGATATATATTTTTTACTTAATTTTGAAAGATAAAAATAGGTTGACAAACCACTCTATATTAGATGGTTATCATCGATAAATAACCGTCTGACAGTCTGGGGAGGCAATGCTTTTTTTTTCCTTGAAAACTGATGTACATTTAGATTTTTTTTCTTCTTATTTCCTTGTCTCTTCTCTTCCTTGTAACATTTATTGATATGATTTTAGTATATACAATTATTGTGTTAAATAAATAATCACTTGATAAAATAGTTGCCACGATATAATATTATTATAATTATTTTCTCTTTTTGCAAAGGAAGATTTCCTTTCCTTCTTCAAATAATACTAAAAGAATGATAATATTATTATAATTATTTTCGTGCACATTTACCTCTCTTTTCTTCTTCTCTCCTCCTTCTTCTCTTCCTAAAATTTGTTGTCATTGAAATTGGTTGCTTCAAAATGATCAGGTTGTCTCTAAGTTTTCCATAATATGTTGTTGGTGGTCCCAAAATACAGGTTGCGATCATAGGTTGGTTTTTTCCAAATATTTTTGTCTTGAAATATTTATTAGTTGGATATCGCGGTTTGTCTCTAGAAGTAGTTGGTTATTTCAAAATATATATTTTTTTTGCCTTGAAATATTATGGTTATCGTCCTCCATTATGTTATGAGAAGAAATTGGTTGTCTGGTTACGATGTTTGTCCCAAAAAATTGGTTATCTCAAAATAGTGGTTGCTTTGAAATAATTATTGTCTTGATTGTTATGGCAACATATTAAAATAATGTTTGCCTTGATATGTGATGTCTTGAAATCTTGGTTATTGCTATATAACGATTTTTTTGAAATATTCGTTTTGGTTGATGTTTCCATTGCCCAAAAAAAAATTGTCTCAAAATATTTCTTGGCTTGATATGACAATTGTATTGAAATTAATATTCCCTGTCTCAAAATGAGGATGATTTAGAAGTAAATGGGCGCCTTTAAAACTTTTTTTGACTCAAAATGACGATTCTCTCCATGAAAATGTTATTTTGAAATATTTATTGCCTCGATATAATGTTTTCAATACTATATCAGTTAAAATGTTTGTTGTATCGATACGACTGACTATCTCGAAAATTGGTTCCTTGTAATATTTGTTTCCTTAGAAATTTTAATGGTTTGACATAACAATTATTTCAAAATATTTATTTCCCTAAAAAGAAGGCAGTCTCGAAATTTTTTTACGGTGATATATAATGATTGTTTTAAAATATTTGAGGTATATTCTTATATCTCTTGGAAGAATTATATGAAGAATGGACAATAATAGGCTAGTACCTATACTAACGTTTAAAAATATAACAATATTTCAATCAAATTGAACTATGCTCAATTAGATAAATTGAAAAGAAAAACACTTTATAATTCTTTTAGTATTATTTGAAAAAGGAAAGGAAATAATAGATTAATACTTTATTTTCATCGTATATAATTAAATTAATATATTCAACCAAATTTTTTATTTTTTATTTTTTATTTTATAAACAAGATAACAGTTGTGGGTTTTAAGTTTTAACCGCTAAAATATCTGAAAGATGGCGTTCGCGTAAGCTTCCCTCCTTCCTTCGTTCACCGCTCCCGCGCTCCCATTTTCCACCACCCGACGCTGAAGATGATGCTGAGAACTACTTCACCGCTCTGTTCTTCAAGCAATTTCTCTCAATCTTTTCCATATATCTCAATTCTTAGTCGATGCTCTGGCCCTTCCCCAAGACGTCTCGCTCGAACTTGCAACTGTTTTCGTTCCTCGATTCTTCATCAGGTGCCCTCGTATCATCTCCTTCGTTTTCCACTTTCGCTGCCTTCCCGCCGTACAGTTGGTATGTTATTCTAGTTTGATTGTTTCTTTCATGATTCATCGGAAATGCAATTTGAAATGTAATGGGTTTGTTGGTATTGACCAGAAATTTGGAGGGATTAGGTCACTAGAGATTCTTTTGTAGGGGTTTTCTTGGGGTTGAAGTGAGTGTTTTCAGTGTAAAGTGATCATTTGTTTTGGCATTTCAGCTACTTCTGAGGTTTTTGAAACTGTGGAGGCTCCGTCAGGATTTGTTGAAATTGGTTACATATCCAATGTTCACGGGACGCAAGGGGAAGTCCGAGTAAAACCCAGTACTGATTTTCCTGAGCTCCGATTCTCCACGGTAAACCAATGCCAATAATTTTCAATAGAACTTGTAAGGAAAAGAGGGAAAAAAATCGACGCAGTGCTACAATTTTGATATATAAGTAAAGGAACTGTATCCCATCGAGTCTTTATATAAATACTTAGCAAATTGTTCCTTTACTTATATATCAAAATTGCAGTTCCTTCACAATTTGCTTGCTCTTTAGTTGATCGTGAGTGTGCACGTCATCATAGCCCTCTTAAATCAATTGCCATTGATATTTAACCTTTTCTCTAGCCCGGCACAAGATGGTTGAAGCAGCAAGTTTCAGGAAGGGAAGCAATTCGAGAAGTTGACCTAGAAGAGGGAAGGGAACACCCTGGTCGAAAGAGCTGGATATTGAAGTTTATAGGAATCGATACTGCCGAACAGGTTCAAATCTATTTCCTTTTTTGTTATGATTAATCATGTTTCTATACTAAATTTTGGTTTCTCTTCTCATTATTACTTCACGTGGCTGTTTATGATCAATCTATAGAAGCTATGGTGGTATAAGTATTGTATTTTAAAATTGTTGTTATTTGAAACTCGAGTGCTAGTTGGAAGGGAAAGAAATAGTGCAATGATCCAACTCCGCCTGGCAGATTTTACTATTTTCACTGATTTTGTTATTAGAGTCATAATAAACTATTTTGGATTAAAATGTGTCAGTAGCCCTGACTTCATAATCTATTCAGGCCAAGCAACTCATTGGATCAGCTCTCCTTGTGAGGGAAGAAGACCGACCAGAGTTGGAAGAAGGTGAATTTTATTCCCGTGATCTTGTAGGCATGAGTGTTATTCTAAAGGTATGCGAATGATTTGCATGTATGAATTTTCTCCCAAACACAAATTTATTTACTTAAAGCCCCCCATACCCCTTCAGGGAAATGGTCTGATTTAAGGAAGTATTGAGTTATTCAATGTTGATGTCTGCTTGAAGAGATTATTGCTTTTCTGTCTTTTAGAATGAGGATGTATTTGATATAGCCCTTTGTTTGTTAACAAATTATGGATGATTGCATCCTTCAAGGACCATAGTTTACCGAAATGCTTTTTGGAAGTTGTATAGAATTTTCCACTCTATCTTGAATTGTGGTTGGACTTATTATAAATTTTGTCTTTCATTATCATTGCTGGTTATTTTTTGTTTTATTCCTTTACAAAAATATGGTACATTTTTTCTTTTTTTTAGTTGCCTTTGATTGCTTGTGATACTGATTCCATGCAACCCTTCAGGAAACTGGTCAATCACTGGGGACTGTTGTTAATGTATTTGATAGTGGAGGGGCAGATCTTTTACACGTCATGCTTAATTGTTCCGAAGATATCCTTGATACCACAGGAAATGCAACATCAACAGAGACGGGAACATCTGGTCGCCTTGTTTGGATACCTTTTGTTGAAGCAATTGTTCCTATTGTCGATCTCCAAAGACGAGAAATGAAAATCACTCCTCCAAAAGGACTTCTGGAATTAAATCTGCAATCTGAAGAGAGATCGAAGAAAGAAATACGCCAACTTGTGAGGCATATTCTTTTTCACTCTCTTCCTGCTTTATGAATAAACAATGTAAAGATGCCAACTTACTTTAAGTAGTTAAATGCACACATGAACTGTCTTCATACTATTCAGGCGCTTGAAATCTTCTTGTTTCGTAATTGCCTCTTTATACATGTTTTCGTTGCAATTTATAAATTTGATGATGACAGAAATATGAATTCTGCTGCTGCTTTTTTTTCCCGTCCTTGCTTGCAATTTTACCTTCTTTTTCTTGATTTCGACTCTTAGTTTGTAACCTAGGTCATCCATTGTAGGAATGGAAAGAAAGGAAAAAATTCCAAAAACGTCTCGTAGCTGCGAAAAAGAAACTGTCTGAAATGGAACAGAAGCACGTATTCGATGGTTTCAAATTTGGAGAGAAAGCACAGGGAAGGTTACTTGCGGATCAGATAGTTGCAGTAAATACCAAGTTGCTTCAAAAGGCTTTACAAGATATTGAGGTTCCTCCAAGAAGGTGTAGTTTAATTTTGAATTAAACATAGTTTGTTCTCTGTCTTTCCATACATTTGATTTTCTCCGGATCTTTATTAAATTCAATTCAACTATGAATTTAAGTAATAATACATAACCAATTGCTGATTCTTTATTTAATTTTGAGTTTGCAGATCCTATCATCGTCTGTTCAAATTCTTAAATGTTACAAATATTTGTTCGTTTTCATTTATTTTTCCAAAGATATTGATATGGTTTGTTAAAATTCATGAGTATCTTCTTCATTTACAATTCACTTTCAAAAGGTTTTATGAAGTTTAAAGGTCAAGATATTTAACATCTTCGTTGTCTAATTTTAGAGTTCCCTTGAAGTCAATGAGTCCATGCGTGTTTTTAAATCCTTTTGTCTAATTTTCAATTCACTGATGCTCGAATTCTCAATTGACTCCTTGAATCACAGATTGACTGTTAACGACTTATTTAACGCCTCTAAATTGGAGAAAATACAAAATACTTTAAGGATATCAGATGAATGTGTCACATCTGGTGCAAATGAAGAGGAACCTGGTAAATACACCAGTTTGCAGAAAAATGGACACAATCTCATATCTTCTGGAAAAACTGCCGTTGTTTTAGTTGTCAATGATGATGGTTGGTACTCCGACCTTGATATTGTTAGTGAAAATGCTGAGCATCCAACATCTTCGTCCCTTTCTGATCTACTTTGCGATGATAGAAGGTTTGCAAAGGTTGTATTTTCTATGGCCCCCTCGAATTTATTATCTTGAGTTGAGATCTTCTGGCGCAACTTTATCCTAAATTTGTTGAGGGAGCAATCCCATTTTTCACTTTGAATTGGTCAAAATATGTGGAATTTCCTACTTTTCATGGAGGATTAGATCTAGTAGATGTAATTATGAAATAATAAGTTTATCTGATGTGATTCAATGTGCATTAGCTATGAGATCCACTTGTCATAACTAAAGTTTCGGGGGAAAAAAATAGTTCTTGCATATTGTAAGGAATACTTGCTAATATCAAGATTTAATCCTCAATTTCAACTCTTTCACATTTTACTTGCTCAAATGAAGGTGGTAGATTTACTAGGATTTACTTGCTGAAATGACAATATAGGTTGGTTACGTTAGCTTTTAGGCATTTTTATGAATTAATGCGGAGGGGTATTACTGGGATCATCATTGATTTCTTCTAAGATAAATATTGAAATATTAATGAGCATGGATTATTGCTTCATTGGGAACCTTTTCTAAATTAAACATTTGTAATGCACAGATTGAAGACCGCCCATACGTGCCTCTGATTTTGGTATGCTCGGCTTCCAGAATTCATTCTATTGAAAAGCTGTTTATGGACAATGATTACTTTGCCTTTGATTCCGAAAAGGTCGGTGAGCAGCTCTTTATATGAAATTCATAACCCTATTAATTTAAGATGGTCATAAAGCCATCAAAATAAGTTAATAATTTAAAATTTCATCGTTTCATTTAGTAAAGTGGTTTTGATAATGTAATTTTTAGGTCAACATCCTTAATTTTTTTTTCTACTCATATTCATTGCGGCAAGATTCTAGTTATGCGCACACAATATTAACTTGTGAAGTCTGAACTAATTATAACTCATCCGGAATTGAGATGGACCAAGTAATGGAGTCATCAATGTCAAATAACTTATATGATATGGTTAAAATTTGAAGGAAGTGCTAAAGTTTTCGAATTATAGAAAACACCTTCCCCTAACTTTAATATCTGTGATTAATATTTAAATTAACTAAAGGAGCAGTGTCTATTATGGGGTGCTTTAAGCTAAGCAATCATTATAGAGCTATTAACATTCTTTGAGCTTACTCACTTGGAATCAATTTTCCAGATCTGGTTTTTGGAAGAAGAGAGGCTTCCAGTTGTTAGCAATGCAGCAGATGGACTGACCAAACACAAGATTTTGATGAAATCCCCGTGGGAAATCCTACAATCCCCAGTTGGTTCTGGAGGAGTCATCAACTTGCTTTCATCAACCAACATTCTGGAGAGCCTCGCCAAAATGGGCGTGGACTACATCGAGGTTAGGCATTCGAGACATACCGCTGGTGTTATCTTGTGACGGTTTATAGTCCCTGAGTTTTTGATCCACTGATCTGACAATGTACCTTCTGACAGATTTGCAGCAGCAGCCATAAAAGTGCTGGCATGAACACTCTGCTTCTTGGGTATATCGAATCGTGCGATGCTAATGTCGGGATTCAGCTCCATGAGGGTGCTAATGACTTTGGGAAAAGCTTTGATTTTATATTCTCAATGAACTTCATAAACAAATTGAGAAAGCAAACGGATAAGCTCCAGTTCTATGCCATCCCCAAAACAAATGCACATGTTGAGAAGGTTGACAAAGAGTGGGTTGATGTTTGTTCTTCCTCTCCCAACTCATACCAACTTTGTTCTTCAATCTTTAGTTGGTTAGATGAGTGTTCTTTTGATGAAATTTGTATGATGGAAAATGCTTAATAGATTATTGCTCATGTCTCTTTTCCTTGTGGACATGTATATGAGTTTTACACCATTAAATGTGGTTCAATTCCTCTCCCAATACTAGTTCATGTTACAAATAAATTTAAAATAATAATAATAATAAAGAAAGATATATATAATTGTAACCTATAAAAGCTTTTTCTAATAACTTCAGGGTGTATTATAGTTTTTCACCTAGGGGCGGCACTTATCTCTCACGATTTTTTTTTAATTATCCATTTACTCCAAGCGAAAATAGATAATTAAAGTACATGGTCTAATTTACTCCAAGCTAAAATTTTAGCCAGGAAATATTGAAATTGTGTGATGAGTTCTATATTTAAAGTGGCCAAAAAAAAATTAAAAAAAAAGTGGCAAAAAAAAAAAAACAAAAAACAAAAAAGATAACAGAATTAATAGCACAATATCGATTTTGTTTTTTATTTCTTTTTTCTTAATTATGTTTTAAATTTATGAACCCTGTATTATACTTCTATTTAGGGTTTAAAATTATTAACAAAATATTGATGTGACATGGTATGATTATCATAATCATTCAAAAAAATTTCATATTCAAATCAATTCAATAATTTATGCATCTTTTATTCTCATCCAGGAGATTGACTTGTCACCCTAATTGGTTCTTAAATAACAACAAAATCAACACAATGTATTCCATTTTTTTTAATAGAAAACCTTGTATATTAGAATTCATAACAAAAAATTGAATTAAAAAATATCATAACAAGAAGTTAAAATGTTCTCTTGAAGTTTTGAGAAATACTATCAAACAATCATGGTTGTGGCGTATTTGATCATCCATATAAGTTAGGGTGGATCAACCAAGAACCAGGGCACGTGCCTCCCGGATTTTAATTAAATACTATTTGAAAATATTCTCATATGCTTCATGAGTTCTAGTATAAAATTGAGATTTTTCCATTGCATTTATATGTATTTGTGCCTCAAATCATGGATTCGCCACGGCATGTAAAATTAAAAAAAAAAAACTCAATTTAATATTTGTCTCTGGATCAACCGTTTCCTTTTATCTTACTACTTATATATATGTATAATTCTTCACCACCACAACCCTACTTAGATTAAGGCATTAACATTTATAAGTTATTGGGAGAATCAAATTAATCTCCTTCAGATCCAACAAACAGCTCTCGTAGATTTTTTTTCGTTTTCGAAAGGAAATTCATCAATCCTTAACTCACACAACAATAAGCGTGGTTATTTAATATAATACACATTAACTTGTAACTTTGAAATTCTTTAAAAGTCTCTGAACATTGAAAATTGAAAATAGAAGTGGCCTGGGCCGATATACTGGGCCTTGTGTTAGAGCCCATGGGCCGGAGATGCTAAATCAAGTTGCCAAACAGAGCCCAATCCTATCAAAGCCGTAGGACAGAAGCCCTAATTGAACGAACACTCTCTATATAAACCTCCAGAGCCTTAAGCTTATCATCGAAGCTGGGACGGCCAAGGGAAACCCTAATACCTGTGAGTTCCTCTCTCTGATCCGCCGCTAGGGTTTCTTTCGTTCTTCTACCCTGAGATTTGTTTATTTGATTATGTACCGAATATACTTCTCAATCGTTTTCGTTAATCCAGTTTAGTTCAATCGCGGCGTGGGAACTTTCTGTTCCTTCGCGTTACTTGGTTTTGAGTTTTAGCTTTTTAGGTTTTATTGCATTTGAGCTTATTATAATCCTCCTTTTTATGTAATGTATAGTAGTAGGCGAAAATGGCGGTGCCTTTGCTCACGAAGAAGATCGTGAAGAAGAGGGCCCAGAAGTTCAAGAGGCCCCAGAGTGATCGAAAGATCTCCGTCAAGGTATATTTCTTTTCGCTCCGTATTTTCATCTTATCTATTTATGCAATATTAATAGAATTCATAGTAAAGAATATGATGATAAGTATTGTCGCCCCAGTCTTAATTGCATCTATAGATGCATATGGTGACTGACAGTAGTATCTGATTCTCGTTACGGTTAGTAGCTCGTCTACCGTGATCTGGTTTTAGGAACATATTTTCATGATTTTAATATTTTTTTTCCCTCTATATGATGAGGCTTGGCTTTTTGTCCTTAAGAAGGATCAGACGATAGAATGACTCTCAGACTGACTTGGGTCTTCGGATCCATTCTGGTGAATCTAAGATCGACTATCGGATCCTGGATACGACATTCCATATCAATTAGTATTGTTCAATTGAATTCGTTGTTTTAATCATCCTTGATTGTTATGTTAATCACAGCCTATTATGTTAATATTTTTTGGAGATGGGATGTCTGACCGACCTTTTATCTGATCCCTAAACAGCAGAAACGTCTTGCCACCGTAGTGTCAGCAGTCAATTTTTGTGTCCTTGTCTTTGTACTGGGGCATCAGGATTAGCATCCTGATATTGGTTTTACATAGCTTAAGTATTATTTAAGCACTGATTTTTTCGTAAGATATGCAACAAGACGTGATGATGTTAACCCATCATTTCTGCAGTTGAATGATGAATACTTTCATGCACTACCATCTGATCTTAGTTGTATATTGGAATCTAATAGTATAAGCCAAACTCACTTTCTTCTCTATCTGTTTTTGTTTTAAAATCTCCGCTTTTACTGCAATCTATGATGCAAACTACCCACATTCCTGACTTCATGTGATTATATATCCAATATCACCATCTTTCGGCTGAGGTTGCAGTTGATATTTCCTTTTGTTTTATCATTTACTTTTTTTTGGTAACTATAGAACTGAATTTGCCCGTGGTATCTAGTGTTCAGATTTTCATCGAAGTAGCTGGACATTTCGTTTTTAAGGGCATAAATTAATTCCATACAGGTCTTGCGACACAGTTAGCTTCTTGTAACCATGAGCTTTCTGTTACTAAATCCCTGCATACATATCTATATTCTTTAAGAATTATCTGATTTTGAATCTTTGTCACATAAATTCTGTATTTCTCATCTTGTTGAATGCATCTGACAGGAAAGCTGGAGAAGACCAAAGGGTATTGATTCCAGAGTTAGAAGAAAGTTCAAAGGATGTACGCTGATGCCGAATATTGGTTATGGTACTGACAAAAAGACCCGTCACTACCTTCCTAATGGTTTCAAGAAGTTCGTTGTTCACAATGTCAAGGAGCTCGAGGTCTTGATGATGCACAACAGGTTTGTTGGACAATAACTTATAAATCCTTTTACATTGTGCATTTGTCTTATACTTGTGTTGTCTTACTGCAGGACTTATTGTGCTGAAATTGCCCACGATGTTTCCACAAGGAAGAGGAAAGAGATTGTGGAAAGAGCAGCCCAACTTGATGTTGTAGTTACCAACAAGCTTGCTAGGTTGCGCAGCCAAGAGGATGAATGAACAACTTAGAACATTAAAATGCAGTTTTCATTATGCTTTGTAGTGAGATTTGGTTAATATATACTTTTTTTGGTTCATGAAATTTTGATATTTAATGACCTCTGAAGTTGCTACTGTCATCTAAACAATATATTTGCAACCTTGAATTTTGTGGTGTTTTATTCTCCTGCCTGCTTGTTGACAAGATTGCTCGACTTTTCATCAACTACTTGTTGCCACTTGACGATCCATCATGCTGAATTTTCTTTGGTTGTGTGTATTTATATACTTTCCTTTGTCTAAGCAAATCTTGTAAATGGTAGTTGTAGCTAATAAATGTAAATGAAAATGGTGCTATATTTTTCTCAAATTCTGTGTTTCTGTTCATATCGTTTGCTGATGTTTAAATGTCCCCTTCTTAAGAATGGTATGTGTTTTTATTAAATGAGTCATTCGTTGTGGTATGATTTATACATGAACTATGTCTAGTGAAACTTGTGACCGCTTATTATCATGAATTAAGTTGGTATTTATATTATTTAATTTTTATTTTACTTCGTACTTAAAAAAGGTAATTAGAACTTCGTACCCAAAAAGAACATTAGAATTTTACTTCAATCATAAATATTCAAATATTTATGAATGCCCTCATGTTTTATACCATTTGAATTTTTTTAAAGAACTTCCAAGAATTTATACGCTTGAATTTATTTAGTAGATTGGTATAAAGAAAATATTCGAAATCTATCCTTCTTTTTCCCAAAAAGGAAGAAGAGGATATATACGGTTTTGTGAAAAAGATTTATTCCTAATTAAAATTTCATCCAACATTTTTTCTAAGAACAATTTCGAGAATGTGCTAAAATTAGTTTTAGTTTTTCTTTAAAAGAAGTCATAATTCTTAGATTGCCAGATACTTTGACATTTTAAAGTATATATTTCAAAACATTTATTGTATGTCTCATGTTTTTAATGAAAATCAAAGATAGAATAAGAGAGAAATAATGGTGTCTTCATAGTTCACTTATCAGAACTTGTATGATTATTGTTTCCTGGTTTTGTTTTACATGATGGTTTTTCATATCCCTTTAAACAAAGCTTTCTACTAACCTTTTTTCATCAGTTTTTGCTTTACAAGCAAACATTAGAATTTCAAACTCGTCGAAAACTTTGTGAATAAAAGAGAAATTGAAAATTTACCCAACCTAGGATTGTATAGAGCAGCCATTTTAGGCGTGGCAAAGAATATGACTTTCTTAGCTTGGGCAGCACAGCAGAATGTACCCAACCCATCTAAAAAGAAAGAATTTTTGATATCCTTGTTTTTGCCTTGAACATGAAGCATTGCCCCTTCCCTTTACAACCCCAAAGCCCCCTTTGGACACAACAGAGTTAGCAAGTAAAGAACCAGAACCTCCCCTTCCCCCCCATTTATAACCATCTGATCTGCTCCCTGCTTACACATTTCACTTCAATCTTTTCTCCTCTCCTCAAAATCCCAACTTTTTTGGGTCCTCAGCTTTTCTCTTTCTGCCCAAATGGCCAACACACAGATGAAATCCATTGCCACTTTGCTTCTGTTGCTCAACTTCTGTATGTACGCCGTTATTTTGGGCATTGGTGGGTGGGCCATGAATACAGCCATTGATCATGGCTTCGTCATTGGTATGTTTGAATCTTCTTGTTCTGACACCTTGATACTATGTTTGTGTCACCACAACCAGCACATGTTTTCGTTTCTTTTTCATGTTCGACATGTTTCTTCCGCAGGTCCCGATTTTCGACTACCGGCACATTTTTCGCCCATTTACTTCCCCATGGGGAATGCAGCCACTGGGTTCTTTGTGACATTTGCTTTGTTGGCTGCTGTTTTTGGAGCTGCCTCAGCAATTTCAGGACTGAACCATATTCGTTCATGGAGTGTTGACAGCTTAGGTGCTGCATCCTCTGCTGCTGTTTTTGCTTGGACTCTCACTATTCTTGCTATGGGGTAGGCCTTCCTTATCTGTTATCACCATTATCCTTGATTTCCCCATTATTTCTGATCAACTTTTAAGTTACATTATGTCTCCTGTTCATAAATTTTTACGTTTTTGTCAACTTCATCTTTTTACTTATAGGAATATTATGTTTCATCATCGTAGTGATCCATGTTGTAAAATTTGTTGGGCGTTCACTGCTATTTTGCTGATAACTTTTGAAAAAGTACTTTTTTAATAAAAATCATTTTTTTATAAGCACCTTTCGAAGAATTACTAATTTAGAGTTTATTTAACACAGTTTTTAAAGTGGTTTTAGATAATTAAAAGTGATCAATCACGATATTTGATAATAAAAATTATTTTTAAAAAATTGGGTTGCTATAAAATCCATTTTGAAAAGAAAAAATACTTGAAAAATGATTATTTAGAAAGTTATTTTAAAGTGACCGATAAAAGAATAAAAAAGTGCAGAATAAAAAATGTTTAAATTAAAAGATATATCAAACTCATCCTATCTTGATGATAAATACTGACTATTGAGAGCAAATAGATTAAAGTAAAAATTAAATTACAAGTTCAGTTTTTGAAACTTCTAGAATTACGTTTATTAAACTTTTAATTTTGTGTTAGACATTTTTTAAAATTCACATACCAATTAGACACCATGAATTTTTAAAAATGTCAAATAGGTTAATGATCTATTAGACCCAAAATTAAAAATTAAAAAATTTATTATATACAAAATAAAAAATTTAGGGAYTCATTAAACACTTTTAAAATTAAAGATCTATTAAACACAAGTATAAGTTTACGATCTCGATGAGGTTGACCTCCAAAGTTTTTTGCTAAAATATGAAAAAGAATTAAAAATAATAATAATTAAAAAATAATAATAACTGACTCTGAGGCTGTGTTATTTATGCAGCTTTGCTTGCAAAGAGATTGAACTGGATTTCAGAAGCACAAGACTGGTGAGAAAAACACCTTCAATTTCTTTTCCCAAAACTTTTATCCAAAACAATTCCAACACAAAATATGCTGATTTAACAAACAATCTTTTTTTTATATATTTTTTATTTTATTTTGCAGATAACAATGGAGGCCTTCTTCATCATTCTCTCTGTTACACAGCTACTTTACATTATGGCCATTCATGGCGCTCCATCCATAAGATGAGACCTAAAAGCTGGAAAAAGGCATAGTTTATTTGTTTGATTTATTACCCATTTTCAGGTTTCTTCAATATTGCTTTCCTTTCAACTGAAAACCTTGCAACTTGGCAGGGAGCTTAATTTTTAGGAGATTTGTGTTTTTGTGATTTGTGTGTTGTGATTGAATTTGTATACAACATTATGACAATAAACCATGCTTTGATATTTGTTTTAAAAGCTTTTATGTCTCTCACTTTTTATCTGTTGGATGAATATTTCATAGCAACAACATGAGTTGTTTGTAGACAAACGAAAAACATGAGAGAAACCTACCAAAATTTGTGATTTATCTAACAATTTCTTTTTCTTAATCTTTAGTAACTTTTATTTTGTATCATATAAAGTTAAATGTTAGTGAGAGGTAGTTGTTGTAAGGTAGAATCAATTAAAAAGTTGAAATAAGTTACATTACAAATTTAATTTAATCCGTAAACTGTGTCTAATAGGTCCTTAAAAATAAGTATATAATAAGTATCTTAATAAAAAAATTGAAAGTTAAGAGATCTATTAGACATGTTTTATTTAGTACTTACAATCCTAAGTTAGAGAAGCGACCTTGTACTTTAACCAAGAATTATCTCAATTAAGATGGTTGCTTATACGAAAATCACAGAAATAGGACAAGTCCTGCACTCCAATTGGTGAGAATGGAATGCCACTAATTGTTTTTTAATTAACGGTTATCAAACTGGTCCTAAATTCTTATAGTTTTGAATGTGAATATCCATTGAAGACCAACCACGTCTATCACAGAGCTTGCAGATCATAATAACACACGGATCTTTCATCTAAATGCACTTCCTTCACACTGTAGTTAAAGTAAACTGAACTAGTTTACATGATAATATAAGGAATGTAGAGAAATTATGGTAAACTAAGCTGCATGGTAATGATAAAATTACCACAAACATAGATCTTAGGATGGACTTTATCGTCCAGCATCACATCACAATTATAAATCAGTAAAGAAATACCAAAAGTTTCAAACTTGTGAAAAGGTTTGCTTCTTTGATGAATTTCGTCACTGCACTGGAACTTCCCCTGGCGGTCTGCATCCATATCAAAGGTTTGAAATATTAGTTTCAGCTTACAAGATCAACAAAACAAACCATTGGCACAACATTAGTGACATTAAATGAGTTAACAATAACGTTCGATATAGCAGAGAGAGGATGCGGTATGGGGAATGTGACTAACCCAACCCCAATGCAGTTGGGAAGATGTTATGATGCAGATGACAATGACACACCTATATAAAATCTCATTCATATAGTTGGCTTAAGAAAACTAAGATAATAATGCACAACTAGAAATAGAATATAGAAAATGAATATATGTGCGTGTCTAGCCAGCTTGCAGGTACCTCGAGGATAACTGCGTGACTCTACTGTATTTGGTTGTCAAAGTAAAGTTATTTGTAGGATATTAAATCTTCGGTACGTGGTCACTATGGTTTGAACTCATTCTATCTAAACCTTTTATTATTTATATTGACCCTTAGTGATCCTGACTCAACTCAGGATGGTTAAGAAATAAACCTGCAACACCACAAGATGTAGAAAGATTCAAAAGAATAAACTAATATGTCAAGAGCCTGAAATACAAGACAAATAAATATCAATGAACTTTGTAGAGGAAACAGAACTTCGTTTCATAAAACAAGGAGTAATGGAAAAGGGGAATAAAGAATCTCCTAGCCCTAAGGACAGAGGGAATCACCAAAAATCTTTCTAATTAGCACACGAGAAGCTAATAAAATTACAAAATTTCCTATCAAGAGAACTCCAAGGAAAAGAAATGAAATGCAGCAAATTGAACTCAGAAACATCCCTTAATGAAACAATAACATTTTTGCAAAACGTCAACAAATAAATGCTGGCAGTTTCAATACATCACCCGCAGCTGTTTTCATTATGGATGAAAGAAGTAATTCTTCAAAAGAACAAACCTGAATTTATCAATTGGAGCCTTTCAGTAAGTCAAATAATCCACAACAACTAAGTAAAGAAGTCCTTCGTGCCACTATTGGAACTGAAGCCGAAGTCTTCTACACAAATGACGAAGCATGGTTATATTTGATTTATTGAGACTTGCAGCAAATCACAAATGATAAAAGAACTTAGCCATACCTGGTTTTTGAAGCATATTGGAGTCTCAAATTCCATAGCAATGGCATCGTATTTACTTGCACAAACAGGAGGAGCAACTGACGAAAGAAACATCTTGTCTTCCATATATTTGGACCCTTTTTCCATCATCCTTGAAGATTTCTGATTGTTCTCCATCGATACAGGTAAAACTTTATCCTCATTTTGTTTTGGTAGTGAATTAAGATTATTAAATGATGATGCTTCAGTTCCATCGCGTAGGTTGGACAATAAAGTATCTGCATCTTCCTTCAACCCAGATGTAACGGAATCAGAAACCACTGAATTCTCAGCAGCTGCAACTTCCATGAGGCAAATTTTCTCTGTAGACACAGTAACCTCAGATTTAACTGAATCAGAAACCAGAGTAGTTTCAACCAATGAGTTGATGTTCTGCCCAACTGGTGTAGATTCACTTAGCCCAATGGCTGCAAATGAAGATTTATCTGCCTCGTCGTCAAAAACATTGGTATTATAAGATGAAGTATATGCTTCGGCTTTCTTATCAACAATGCTACAGTCAGCTGAACTATTACTAGAGTTCTCGTCGTCCCTTTCATCAAATTTCTCGCCAGACTTAATGTACTCGATGTTGATGCTTTGACCAGCATTATTCTGTGCTGATATTAATTCATTCTCATCTTCAACAACACCATTGCCATCAAGTCCTACTTCTTGGATTCTTTCTATATCCAGAGATATATCCTCATCCACAGTAGACAAAACATATGATGCGTCATTCTTCTCCAATTTTTCCTTGTCCGAATTGTGGCAAGCAGGATGATCATAAATGGGATTGACCTCCCTACTTTCAAAGCTTCTCCCATTCTGACTCTTAAAATCCTCGTCTCCTGCTAAATTTTGTTTCAGTTAGAAGCTTAAAGCGTGATGCAAATCGTCTACGCGAAGGGAATCTTTTCTCCCCACCTAGCAGCACCCAGAAAAACGGAAGAACCAACAGCCAATATCCATAATATACATCTAACAACTCAATTAGACAACAAACCAGATTGATAATAGTTAAGGTTACAAATTGCGATTCAAGTAAAAAAGAAGTCTTAATTAGTCTGAGTGGACAGCATGCAGTGTGCACGAAAAGTACATAGAAAAGCATAATTTAACCAAAACCACAAGCAATTCGATCGTAATGGTTCAAACAAAAGAATGCAAAATGGACGAATCGGTAGATAAGTGAGGGTAGATTGGATAGGATCACATTGAAAACAAAACCAAACAACAACAACAACAACAAGAACTATTATTGATCTTGGGCAAATTAAACTATTACTTGAGGAATTGATTTTAGCCTCCCTTTCCTTCTTTTTCCTTGCTGCTTTTCGCTTCTTAACACCCGACGGCATGATTGGCCCCTACTCTAGAGTCTTCAATCAATGAGATCTTCTAACGCAACCGAATTCCGTATCTGTGTCTGCAATTATACAAACAACTGAGCGAGAGACAGAGAGACGGAAGAATCGGAGAGAATGTAGGGCAAGAAGGGGGAATGGGTGGGAGAATTATTGTGGATTTCAGTGGGAGATTCGCGAAAACGCCATTAATGGAAAGCAAGTGAGCTTATAAAGTGAAATGAGTTTGATTTGGTTGGTTCCATCGTCTTCGCGGCTCTGTCTTTCAAATTAAAACAAGACTAAGAGTACGCCATCTTTTCAAAATTAAATAACTATTTAAGATCGATAAAAATTTTAAAATATATATCAATAAAATATCATTAATGGGACTATTTTTAACTTATTCGAAATTTAAAATAGGCGAAATGTAATATTTGTTAAATTATATATTTTTATGATTTTTCAAAAAATATCAATTCACGTATATTCATATAAAATTGAGATTTCGATATTCCGTCTCGATCACGATTCGAAATCTTGTTGGAAAGTAAATCCATTTTCATTATTCTATTTCACTTGTTTTGATATTTTTCTAATTTAAATTAGAGTTTATACTATATTAGATGTTTACATTTTAAAGTTCTAATAATATTTTTTTAAGATACGGAATGTTTAGGGTGCATTTTGTTGGGTCTGAAAATTTTTAAACATATTTAAAAATTGAATTTAAATTAAAAAGATGGTTGAATATGTGTTTAGTAATATATTTGTAAATTAGTTCATAGCTACAGCCAAATCTAAAATTATATTAATTAAAGTTTTTATTTTTTTAAATGTAATTTTACATTTTAAAGTTTCAAATTTAAAATCTTAAAACAATAAAAACAACGGATTGTTTACATAATTTTTATTTAGTAGCAAATTCATGTGTCTAAACATGTTGATAGACAATAATTTAACAGTACATCAACCTTTTTTAATAAATTCTGATATATATATTTTTATATGATAACCTGGTTGATAGTTTTTAATACATTGGGGCAAAATTGAAAACTTTAGACTATATTCAAAATTACTTAAAAGATTACAAACTGTTTTGTATATATTATGCTTTTCTTATTATTTAGACGTGAAACGCTCCTTTGATATTTTATCCATATCCTTAAACAATGTCTGTCCAAAAAAAAAAAAAAGAAAAATCCTTAAACAATGCTTACTTATAATAGTTCACACGAACTAAAATTTTCTATTACTAATTATTTAAATACAAACATCTCAACTTTACACTACAATGTTTTGTTCTTTGTTACAACTTACAAGAATGCATGGTTTACAATACATCACACATTATTTTATACAAGAATGCATGGTTTACAATACATCACACATTATTTTATCGAAACTTACGATAAAGAGCCTAATGTATAATGCAAAAAGCATTCTTCAATCTTAAATACTAAATTATATTTGCAATGGAATCTGATTAGCTTTAATTTTCTTATTTTATTTCTAAGAAAAACTAAATTAGATAGATGACATGTTTGTTTCAAAATATATATATATATATGAACTGGTCAAAATCCTTTTTATTTTTTTAGTCATTCTCTTAGTTGGAAATATATGTTACTTAAAAGCTATGTTCACTTTGACATGAAAGACCAAAATTTTACATGTTGAATAAGTATCCGTAGCTATGAATTTTACAATATTGTGATCATGAGTTGGTTAAATAGTGCCAAAATGAGCATAACTTATCGATAATTAATATATATCTCATTGTGGTTGCGAATTCGAACCCCTATCCTCACATATTGTACTCCAAAAAAATAAAAAAAAAATAGTTAGTCAAATAGTATTTTATTTAGTACACGTGGGAAGATTTAAACCCACAAAAATATTTCATAACTAGTTAGGTTATGTTTAGATTAATTGACCTAAGTAGCATTGAAGCATCTAAATAAAAGTAAATGAGCTTTAGAAAAATTAGTAGGGACCATACATAGATTAAAATTCTACGAATCCTCTAACATTTTAATACTATAGGGTCATGTTGTTGCGAGACTAGTCGAGTTGGTCATGACCTCCAAATAGGAGAAAAAAAAAGAGGTTAAAAGAACACCTACTTTCATTAAAGTATCGATTTGGTCCATGAATTTTAGTGTGTGACGATCTAGTCCTTGTAGTTTTCGTTAAGATTTATCATATATGTAGATAGATGTAGGACCATATGCGTTTCTAAATTACAAAAACTAAATAAATTACAAAAACTGAATCATTATATATAAAACTCAAAATTTAATTTTTATGAGAGACAATGATTAAATATTTACAAATTTTAAATTATAGAAAATAAATGATTACCTACGTTAAATGGGTTAAGTTATTTTTAATTTAAAAATATATAAACTAAATTGTTGCCCATATATTTTTTTACTTAAATTTTTTTTTTGTTTTTTGTTTTTGTTTTTTTTGAAGATTCGCTATTATTGCTAAAAAAAAATCATTGTATTATTGATTGTTACCCTTTTCAAAACTCTACGTCCATCAGACGGTGACGGAGCGAGGGGACACGCTATTATTCTACATATTGGTTCCAGCAGATCACAACTCAGTAGGAACAAGATTAAGGGAGCAAGGTCCGGAGCTAGCTGGTGGCTACGCTCGCAGATCTTTGAGGAGCGACGAACCCACCGAGTTCTGAACTCATTACTGCCACCGGTATTGACGTTTTTCCTGTTGAATTTCATCGATTCTGATTCATCCTGAAGTTGAGGGGGGCAGACGCAGGAGAATTAAGCCATGGATGCGCTCAGAAAGCAAGCCAGCAAGCTCAAGGTTCAAGTTGCAAAGCAACAGCAGGTGATTTGAGAATTACCTTGTTTCAGTTTCTTGATCTTGTCGGTTTAGTTCCAATTCTGGTTTATGGTTTTTGATTACTGTTGTCATTTTCCCCGGTTAAGGGGAGGAAAGCAAAAGTCAATTGAGGCATCTTAATGGTACTGTTTCTTCTTCAGGGTCGTTATCATCCTGTTGTTAACTTTAATTTTAAACTGATTGATTTAGTGGTCTGTTATTCTTAGTACATGTAGTGAAATGCTGAAATTTTTATCTTCCCTTTCCGATCTTACATATTTCATATATAGTAATGGCAGTATCATATGGAAATAATTCCAAGTCTGAAACTTCTGTTCTGTTCTCGTCCCCTCTTTGGTTGGCTGAGTTAGATGCAAATTGTTGATATGTTTTTTGGTGTCCCCATGTCACTGCAGTTCTGTTTTGAACCCTGTTTGCGGTTCTAAAACTAAGCATATTTGATGATATTTTTGTTTAGAAGACATGATCACTGCAAGGCAAATAAACCAACTTCGCAAATGTTTTGAAGTTTATTTATTTGGTTATTGTTCTTATATCTTCAATTTAGCTGGGCAAAGGACGTCCACTTTTTGGATCTTGATCATCATCTCAAGTTTCAAACTTGCTATATGGAAAGAATAGCAAAGAATAAAAAATCTATAAGAAAGAATTACTTTTCCGAATTTTCAGGCTGTAATAAAGCAATTTGGTGGGACCGGCTATGAGCATTCAGATGTGATGGTGATAGATGAGGCTGAGATGCAGAGACATCAGCAACTAGAGAAACTATATAGATCAACTCGTGCCGGAAGGGTAACATGTTATGCTCATTTTTAACCGTTATTTATAAGTACCCAAATTGCACCAATTCCTTTCTGTCATAAAGACATCAAATGGTTTTGTATTAGCAACTATTGATCATGATATAGTGAATATTCAGTACTATGCATATGCAAAATCCCCCTTTGATAATGTTAATAATAAGACGATGCTTGCCCAGAAGTTAACGTGAATACAGATAAAAGAAGAGATCTGGGATTTGTGGAGTAAATTGGTATATTAGTGAATGACACTTGGTCACGAAGTCAGATGTTTGAAACCCCCGGGAGCATCTTGTATGATATTAGGGGTGTATGGTGGTTGGTTTAGCATGTTTTTAAATCCGACTGGCTTGATTAATTAGTTTAGTTTTTGTTTACTTACAAACTAAACCATGCCAATGGATAGTGCAAGGTTGGCTTTTTTTTCCCCTTTATAAGGACCACACTATATTGATTTCTATATATATATATATTTTTTAACAAAATATAATATTTTAAGGTACTTTGCAATCTAGATTTGAATGTGACCAAATGTGAGTAAGGATTCAGAAAAAATATGCTATATAATGGTTATTATTAATACCATACCAATTGTCAGTAATAAAAATGGTTCTTATTAGTACCTGGGCGATCCCCTTTGCCCTTCCTTACATGGGGTCCACAGTCATAATACCAACCTACAGTGAACTTTTTTCTAATCCTTTATGGTAAGCTGGAGCTAAGCTCTTTCTTACTAAAGTGATCACGCATGGCGATCCACTTTCTCCCTTCCTCTTTATTTTAGTTGTTTGTGTCCTTAGTTAGATGGTTGATCAGGTAACAGAGAGGAATTCGATAAAGGACTTTTGCATTGTAATTGTAGAGGTGAGGTTCATTGTTCATTTTCAATTTACTTATGACTTAACATTAAAAGAGCTGAATGCTCAATTTCTGGTATCAATTGCGATAGTCGGAAATCACACAGCTATATCTTCATCATATTGAACCATTAGGCGTACGAGATTCCAAACTTCTCCCATGAAGAAACCTTATCCCGAAAACTTTAATGTTTGTTTGAATCAATCTACTTCAAGTTACTTATTCTAATCATGAACTTTCTGCTTCCATTTAAATCGATTTTGTTATACAACCTGTTCATTTATTTCTATAGGATTTCCAGAAAGATATTGTTAAAGCAGGAGAAGCATTTACAGCCATAGGCCATAGGCAAATGGAGACAGGTGAAAATTCTGCAATGACGTTATGATTTGACTTTACAGCATGTCCTTGAGATATTTTACTGTGCAAAATAAAGAGTTGACCTATTGGTCATTCATATGTTGGACAATTGTATTAACTCGATTTTATCAAAATCGGATTTCATGTTTTCCTTCATAATCCCTGTGTTCGTCAGGAAACAAGTTATCTGAGGATTGTTGCAACTATGGAGCTAATAATATCAATGAAAATATATTAGCAAAGGCTGCATCTATATATGGTGATGCTCGTAAGCATGTGGAGAAGGAACAGGAGGACTTGATCAAGCTTTTATCTTCACAGGTTGGTGTGAGCGCTGGTTAATTTGTTGTGTTTGAAGTTGTATCCTTGCATTTATATAGAAACTTAACATCTTCCAATTTTATTGGATGTGTTCTCTATGCTTTCTTATTTTTATTTTGTTCCCGAGTTGACAAGTTGAGGATGGTAATAGAACTTCAGTGATCATATTTTGTCTTTTCACTTAATAAATTGCGATGTTCTCAAGTATATGGGAATGGAACCTCTTTCATATTGGTTGGAAGCACCCCGACCCTGGCATCTTTTTTGTGTCAACTTTTGTCAAAATTTTCAAACCATCTTGCCATATATGTGATTTTCAGATTATTAGCAGAATGAAAAGTGAGGACTCCGTGAAATTTGTGGCTTTTTATTGGTGTACCCTTTCCAAAGGTTTTGTAATTATGCTACTTTTTTTTTAGGCAACTGGAGCAGTTTGTTAAGCTCCTATGGCCCCTCAGGTGGATCTCCTCTCCACCTTTTCTTTTTTGTAAAATTTATTGTCTTTTGCTGTTTTGCACTGTTTTGCAATAACAAATTTGTTCCTTCTCAAATTAAATAAAAAGTGCGGGCCTGTGCGCGTAAGCTCGTGTGCGTGTGCGCATGTGTATGTATGTACATATTTAATGGAAATCTGACCTTTATTTAGAAATTGAAAGAACATACACGAGAAAAACAAAAAAGAATCAGCCCTCCACAAAGGAGCCTGAACTGAGAAACAAAAAATTCTCCAATTTCTCTCGAATAAAATGTCCATAAGATAGCAAGAAAGGTTGCACTCATGGGGTTCCAAAACGGTTGAAGGAACAATACTTCCTCCATCATCTAGCAACACTGGCTATTATGACCCAAGAGCACATCAAATGTCTCCAAAATATATCTCTAATCGAAGTTGCAAAATGACATCTCTATTCTCTATTATACATGATCCAGACCCTGCACAAGAAATATTTTAAATATCTTTATTAACTATTAAGCAAAGAACGAAAAACTTCTTAAATGCAATCATAAATTTTAAAAAATTGTATCTCCTACCAATAGTAAATAATAAAGAAGAACAATGACTCTTGGTTTCCCAAGATCTCTTACAATTGTAGCAGCCTATATAGTTTAGAAACAAACAACAAAGATTCGACCACAAGCTCATGTTTGTTAAGATATTAAGTTTGTTTGTGCTGAAATTATTACATGTTTGCTGTAGTATTTAGCATAATCTAAACTCACATTGCACCTTCATCACTGTACTATCCCATGATCGAACATGGTTGAAGAATATGCTGTACCCCTTTCCTTTCTCATGAGTACCCTTAAATTAGAAAAGAGTGTCACATTGTGTGCATATGCTCTCTGCCTTTATGTACATCTTTTAGTTCTACCCCTTCCTTGAGTTAATTGTGGTTAAACTTCTTTTTATTATTATTATTATTTTTTTTATAAGAAACCGAAAAACCAAAATACATATATAAAGGCATACAAAAAAGAAAGCCTGGAAGGAGGAACCCTAATTAAAGAAAGGGCTTCCAATCCAAAAGAACTTTTTAATTATATATATTTTTTAAATTGATATAACTAATGTTCAAAATTGATATATGCCAAAACGAGCCTAGCTTAGCGATAATTAGCGTATATCTCCAACCAAGAGGCTGTGAGTTCGATCCCCCACCCCCATATGTTGTAACAAAAAAAAAAATGAAACTGTCATGGTTGGCACTGACTTATTTTTTCCTCTCTCGCTCTCTCTTTCTTTTTATATTTAAATTACTTAACAAATAATTTAAACACGGAAGCTGTTGATTTTTCAGATTTTAGATCCATTGAGAGCAATGATTACTGGTCCTCCTCTAGAAGATGCTCGAAATCTTGCTCAACGTTATAGCCGAATGAGACAAGAAGCAGAATCACTGGTATTAAAAGTTTTCATCTTAATCATCAGTTGTATGCAGTACTGAATTGTTGGTTCTTTTTCCTCCCCATAAACCTTGATTTTTTACTTTTTCTTGTATTTGTAAATTTGTAAGTTCGGAAAATTGTACTGCCTTCTCAATTATTATTCAGGCAGCAGAAATTTCCAGAAGACGAGCACGTGTGAGGGAATTTTCTAACCCTGAAAATGTTGCAAAGTTACATGCTTCAGAAGCAAAAATGCAGGAACATAAAGCAAACATGGCAGTTCTTGGGAAGGAAGCTTCAGCTGCATTAGCTGCTGTTGAAGCTCAGCAACAGAGACTCACTTTGCAGAGGCTAGTTGCTATGGTGTGTATGCATTTTGTTTTAATTGGACAAAACACAATGTAAAGCATGCATTAACTAGTTAATATATGTTAATTCATGGTTGGAATGCTGTGATGAGTATGATATTCATTATGATGCTATTAATTTGAAGGTTGAAGGTGAAAAGACATATCATCTCAGAGTAGCTGCTATCCTTGGGGAGGTTGAAACAGAGGTTAGTTTCTCTTGAAATTTTTGTTACATCTACCATCATAATTAACTTTATGGATTGTTTCGTTATTTTGTTTAGATGGTCACAGAGAAACAACGAAAAGAGTCTGCTCCTCCTTTGATCTCATCAGAAAATCACTCAGCGAAATCATCATTCTTTTTGGCTGAAGTATGCCTCTCATTTACCATTAGTATTTTATTTTGAACCATCCACTTTTCATCTTATTTTGAACTACTTTTTCTATATTCGCAATACAACTTGTTTGTAGGATGTCTGCTGTGCGAATACTTTACCCCATTCAAGTGCCACTTTATTCATTATCTAGTTTTTGAATTCCTTTAATTCCTTCATAATGGCTTTCCAAGCTATCAGTTTTCGAGAGGATGGAGAAAAATAGAAATAAGCAAGTCAACGTTTGAGGGAAACAAGGATAATTCTGGATACGCATGCAGCTCCGAATGAGTGAAATTGGTCCCATTTACTCAACCAAGAACTGACATGCTTTCTGCTGTGGTTTATTTGGTGATGAGCCTTGCGGAAATATAGCTAATATTTGCAATATCAATAATCTGTCCTTTTGTGCTGCTTAATCAAATGTATCTAATGGTTGGTTCACTTGGAGTTGGACAACCTTTTGCTCTCTTTTTCCCTAAAATGACCTCAATTTTTTCCATGAACTGGCTCCTTAGATATGCCGTTTATTAATTGGTCATAATTTATAAATCTTTTGTAATATGTGCAGGCGGTGCATCCTTTTACTCCAGCATCAGAGAAAGAACTGAGCTTGTCAGTTGGTGACTATGTTGTCGTGCGGAAGGTACTTACTACTTTTTATCTCCTTAAGACAAACTTCTCAATTGTTTCAGTTTGTTTTCAAGTTCGTATGTTGCAAATTTGGACGCCTATAAATGTCATGAACTGTGACTAGAAAGATCTCGAGGACATAATTGCATCTTTTCTTCAGAACCTAGTGTTAGTTCTATTATATTAGTTTTCTATCATCAATTTTTGTCTTCTTTCTTGTTTATTCAAGTGATTCAGTGACAAGTCATGTAACTTGGTCTTGTTGTTAGTCTCCAATCCCTATGATCTGATACTAGTGAATCAAATAATTTGTTAAAGGGGTCTGATTGCAGTAAAAAAATAAAGTTACACTTTCCCTTATTCAATGCATAATGTACAGAAATAAATTTGGGAGAGCTTAGTGTTTGATTGGTTGGAGCCTTGATGCAGGTTCCATAAAGGTTGTTAGTGTTCATTTATTAAGTTGTCAATGGTTGTGGGGCTTTCAAGCAACAGGGGCTTCGGTAACTGTTGTGGTCTATAAGCATCGTGGATTGGTGGGTAAACTGGATAGATAGCCTCTTGGATATTTCAGAGGTTTCCAAAATTATCATATCCTAAAGTTTGGTACCTTTGTCCTCTACATCAATGTAGCTTCTCTCTGATTTTAAGTGGATATATGTTTGTTGAAATACTATAGATGCTCTCACTTCTAAGTCATTTATATCGGTTTTCAAATTTAGTTTTTCATCCCAGTGGTGCCAAGAACAGAAAGTTATGGTGGATTTGAGTTATTAGTATCATTAATTTTATAATCATTTGGGTTTTTGGGAAAACTGAGGGGAGCTAGGATTTTAATCTCAAGTGTAATATTATTGTTGTTGGGAAGGAAATATGTAACGCCAAAGAAAGCCTAAGAAATTCTTTTCAAAAAATTTCATAGAAAAGAAGTGGAATAGAATTTGTAACGCCACAATGATGAGCTTGTAATATTTCCATATTCCATACAATTTAATGATGGGATATCTTCTGCTAGGCTGTCAATTTATTTTTATTATTTCTTTAAAGAGTAAATTTGGCTGTCAAGTTAGGGGCACCACATTTGTTTTGCGAACTCTCTCTTAAATATTCGTTGAAATATTGGTATTATTTTGATATACATCTTTGGTTGAGATGTGAAAATTGAGACAAATCGTACTCCAACGAGGGAGACGATAATCCAAGTTTTGATTCGATCATTTTCCCCTCATAAAATGCACATTTTATATAAGATTTGTTTGTACCTTGTGATTTTGGAGATGAAAAGTAGTGTCGAGTCAACCTATTTCATGTCCTACAATTTTTAAGCTCAAAGGGAAAGTAAAACTTCTAGAATCTATTATATATTCTGCAACCTGAAAATCGACATATTTATGCAGGTGAGCCCTTCAGGATGGTCAGAAGGAGAATGTAAAGGTAATGCTGGTTGGTTTCCATCATCATATGTGGAGAGACGCCAAAGGATTCCCACTTTGAACACCGTTCCTGAAGCCTTTTAATCAACATCCGAGTGCATATTCCACAGTTGGCTTCATTCAGGACAGTAAGCAATGTTGCCCCAATTGTTCACATTTGTTTGTTTTCGATGTCATTAAATTTTATGTATTCTTTCCTCAACATCATGGTCTAGATGTGTACTTGTATAGTTAATTCTTTTTGTCTTCTTATTTGGAAGAGAGATGGTACAATTGCATGAACCGAAGCAATCTGCAGCCTTTAGCTATTCATATTGGCAAAAACAATTGAGTTATATTTAGCATTTATACTGTTTTGTTGTGTCCATCTTTAACATGACTTGAGGAACTAAATCATGAGTGTTTGAGTAAAGAGTCGATGAAAGTGAACCACTAAGATGTAGTTAGAATGATAAAGAAAGGGTTGAGACATGACTAATATGAACCAGACACAATTAAGACGTGTTAATCTACCACTAAATTCAAAAACATACAGGTTCGGGTACTTTTAATCTTTTTAATACATCTTTAACTCTCTAATTTAGGCAACACGATTGTCGTATGTATGCTCGACTTCGGTTGTGGGTGCTATAGGTAGGAGTACATTATGGCAGGATCAGTCACCTGGGCAAATCAACTCTCCTCCAAGAAGAATTGTGCTATGCCCCTCTGATCCCTATAGAGCGAAAGAGCTGCCTGGTGATCCCTAGGTTGCAGCACGTCCGGTCGTTAACTCCTCGCACCGCTGCCGCCGTTTCTAGGACCGACCGACGCCTAGATCCAACAAGTGGGCAACCGTATTATTTGGAATGAAATGATATTGCAGGGTGGGCAACTGTATTATTTGGAATGAAATGATATTGCAGGTTTGAAATGCATGATACCATATTATTCTACTACGAAACCCTAAACTCACACACTTGATATATTAGGTTATAGATTTTGTTATAGGTGATGTCACTTTCTCAAACATATGTCTTGGATGTTGTTTTGATTTTTGAATTCGAAATAAGTATAACATATATCTCTCCGTGTACAGTGACGGGTAGCATTCAACTTGCCCATGATTCTTATAGCACACCCAGCAAACAACCCGTTACTCTGCAATTGATTTTTCATTCTCCTTTTCTTCATGTCAAGAACCCATATGAAGGACCAACAAAGATGCACATGTCCCATCCGTGTTTTTCATCAAAGTTTCATGCGTTCCTTTTTCAATGATCTCCCCATTCTTCATCACTACTATAATGTTAGCTCCTTTGATGGTAGTGAGTCGGTGAGAAACAATGACGGTTGTTCTATTCACCATCACTGTTTCTAATGCATCTTGTGCAACATGCTCTGACTCAGTGTCGAGTGCGCTTGTTGCTTCATCAAGCAAAAGGATTTTCGGATCCTTCAATATGGCCCTTGCAATGGCTATCCGCTGCTTTTGTCCTCCAGATAACTGCATACCTCTTTCGCTCACAACGGTGTCGTAGCCATTAGGCAATGAATATATGTTGTGTGCATTAGCTAGTTTCGTTGCTAAAATTATCTCTTCCTCAGTGGCATGTCCCTACTTGCCGTAAGCAATATTGGCACGACCGTGTCGTCGAATAGACTCGATTCTTGACTAACCAAACCTAATTGTTGTCTCAACCAACTAAGTTTGAGTCTTTTTATATCTATTCCATCGAGAAGAACACAACCTTCGTCAGGATCATAAAATCTCTCTATCAGATTAATAATAGTTGATTTTCCACTCCCACCTTCACCAGCCAAAGCAATTGTCTGCATTTTAAGTTTTCAAAGAAGTTTGAGTTGTGATGTTTACGTAGTACAAGTAAGGTCATAAACTCAGTCTTCTACAATTAATTGTTTTGCAATCTTCAAAGACATACTATTCAACTCCAAACTTTCCAATCTAAACCAAACCGAACTTATTACCTATGAATCAAACATTTCTTAAATGGTTGATTTATGGTCATCTTTCAATATTTCTACCGAAATAAAACAGTTAAATTACAAGTTTAGTCCCTCAACTTCCAATTTTGTGTCTAATAAGTTTATGGAGTGTCTAGTAAATCTATAAATTTTCAATTTTGTGTCGGATAAATTCCTAAATTTTCAATTTTATGTCTAGTATGTCCGTGACCTAATCGACGTTTTTTAAAATTTACAGGCTCTTATCCTTGGAACATTGTATTTCATTTTCATTATTTCAATGAGAAGTTTGTATCTTGTTCCAAAAAAATTTACGTGTTTATTAGATACAAAACTGAAAGTTAATGGTTCTATTAGACACAAAATTTAATTTTATGTAGAATAGATAAGTTAACTTAAAGAACGACCTATCAGACACAAAATCGTAACTTCAAAGACATATTAGACATGTACAGTTCGTATATCTATTTAACACAAAACTGAAAATTATCTATTATACACTTTTTTAAATCTTGCTATTTATTAGACATAAACTAAAGGACTAAACTTGTAGTTTAAGCAATAAAACAAGCTATAAAGCATGTGGTGAGTAGTTTACGTGATTTAGTACAGAACTATATATTTATTTAGTTTATATATTTAAAAAAATAAAAAAATCTCTAATTTTCAAATTTTATGTAACCCCACCATTAGCTCGTTTGCCTCAAAATTGAAATCAATAACCAGACCATAGTCCTTCAAATTTAAATAATAAAATTAACATGTTAAACTTTAAAACGAAGTTATATGAAATTAATATATCATGAAGAACGAAATTGAGATTTAATTATTATTATTTTTACATTTCTCTGTTTAGGTGTCACTAATTGAGTACAGTACAATACCTTAGTCACTTCCTTCGTGACGGAATTGTTAACGGAGAAGGCGAAGGAATTAACAAGCTCTCCAAAAATGAGAATCACCGCCGGCTGCGACAGCCCGTTGCCGACGGCGGCCACCGTTCCGACAATCATCAAAACGACGTCGAAATTGTCTGCAAACGAAAAAAGCTTGTAAAACGGTACTTTCTCTTCATCTAATAATTCACTTCTCTTCTGATCTCCTTCTCCATCTCTCTTTTTCTTCGGTTCTCTTTCAAAGAGAGACGAAATCCAAATTCTACTGGCACAAGGCACATACCAGCGATTGAAATTACAAAAATAATATTAATAAAAATCTCTCAGTTAATTTTCCCCCTCAAATTAAAGTAGAAAAAAAAAAAAGATATAGAGAGACAAAAAGTGGTGGTGCTTTCATATTTATCCCTTGATAATGCGTCCCCATTTATTACTTTTTGGGTCGGGTGCATGATAATTGGATTTTGACAAAGTACTCTTTTAAGTGAATAAATGCTTATTCCATCGAAAGGTTAAAACAAAAATAAATAAATATTTTGAGAAAATTTTACTTTTTTATTTATTGCATTTATTACTTTTTTATTTTTAWTTGAAGGGATTTGCCAATAAAAATATTTTGAGAAAAGTATATTTTCCGGCCGGCGAGAGCGACGGCCGGAAAGCAGAACCCAACAGCAAAACCACCAAAAAGAAGTTGAGATGAAGTGTATGAATTTCCCAACCTGCAACCGGAAAACCCAAATTCAGAAACCCGGTGTCCTTCGGGTTCGGGTTGATGGGCGGGTGTGAAATGACCTTTTCAGCATCTTCAACAAGAACAGTGTCAGCACAGCAGACATCCGGCCGGCGACGTCGCCGGCGATGGTCTGAGTGTCGAACAAAGCAATGTGTTGTCGTAATATTGTTTGTAAGTACAGACCTAGAATCCGTGTCGATTGTCTTTGTCCKGTTACCATCCAACACGACACCCTCTGCCATCCATTCATCATTTCCATCGTTTCACCGTAACAATATATTTACATCTTCTAGGTGAAAAAATACAGTCTACTCTTTTAATTTTAGTCGCACAATAATTTAACTCTTAATTTTAGTATCAACTTCCTATGGTTTAAATTTTACAACAATTTAGTTTTAAAAATCTCATAAAAATTAAATATGGATTTTTATCATAYAGAGMTTACATTTGATGCAAACTAATTTATTTATTGTCAAAACGAGCATAGTTTAGTGATTGATATATATCTCTRACTAAGAAGTTGTGAGTCTTTTTAGTTGTAAGTAAGTGTAAATTAGTGCGGAGTTAAGTTCAGATCAACTACAAACTTAGATTGTTACTAATTTAAGAATATAAGAAATAAATTATTATGAATTAAAATTGAGGAAGCAGATTGTTGAAAATATGGAAACAAATTTATTGTCCAAAATCACTTGTCTTTGAATTTTTGCCATGCGTGTACATGATTTTCCTTTCACTTGTCCTCTTGTCGTTCTTTTCTTAAGTTAACGTTTGTTTGTTTTGTGTTTTTTTTCCCCACATTTCTTACGATCAAATTTGAATTCTTAGCCAAAATTTCAAAGTTGAAAAAAGAAAGATTAAAATTATTTTCTTTAGTTTTAGAATTTAATTTAGATTGTGAGAACATAGCAAAATAAAGAAATACATTGAAGTATTTATACGTTAAATTTTCAAAAATATCAAATATTAAAATAAAATAATTAATATCAATTCGGGCCTAAATGATTGTCTAGTTAAAAATAATCAAATAATTTGGTTATTAACTTTTTTTTTTAATTGTACTAAAAGAAATATTTACAAAAAAAAGTTACTATATATTTTGGTTATTAGGATTACCTTGTCATGCACTTAAGACTTGTTTCACAGTCAACTTAGGTGGTTGAAATACATGCTTGATCGCATGTGTTAAATATATACTTGAATCTACCGTTTTTATTTTGTTAAAATAAAAATAATAGTGAGGACTAAAATGACTTTTTTTTTTTGGTTTAAAAATCAAACTAGACATTTGAAAAGTTTATGATAAAAAAATATAATAAATCTAAGGATTTTAAGGACTAGAAGAGCATGGACTTTTAATTTTATGATCAATGTATCAATGGTTCTAATGAAGTAACGTCCATTTATAAGTGAAATGTATACTCACATAGAAATTAAGTAATGTCCGTTCCAATATCTAAGTACACGAACTTCAAACAAACCTAAAAATTATAAAATCACACGTTGCTTTTCACATTAAATTATAGAACTTAAACATTTTAAAAGGTTTCAAYTATGTCCTTAAACATATATTTTTATATTAATAAATTTTCATCATTCTTGTATTTTAATGTTGATACACACATTAGTAGATTAAAGACTAAATAACAAAAARGATACTATTTCTCATCAGGGAACAAAAAGGAAAAAKAAACTAAAAAGAACGACCCAGTACTCATGGAAAGAATTTTTACAATCAGTTAAAAAGTAAATATTAAGTTGGTGGTGTAACCACTCCGTACATTACCTATATTTAAATATTCGATAATATCTCAATATGAATATAGTTTAGCTATTAAGATATCTTTTTTTTTCATAGATGTTAGAGGTTTAATCCTTCTCCTGTTTTTGTTATATTAAAAAAAATAATTTTTTTCAATGTGATAATTTGGAGATTTTTTAATTTGATGCCTTTAGAGTATTTAGGTTAACCAAGGTAACTGATTTAGTGACCATTTACATAAATGAAAAAAAAAAAAAGTAAAATCGACTTCGACAAATGCATGTTTGAATTATATAATGATTGTCCATGGAAAAGATATTAAATTCGTACAAAAATTTCTTTGACAATCATGTGTGTGGTAGAATAAAATAGTTATCTTGTGAAATTATTTAGTTGGTATATGTATCCAACTCAGACACTCACATCTAAAATAAATAGAAAAAGTTTTGTTTGTCTTTCAAATTTAGATAATTAATTTTTCCTTTYTGTTGGATTTGTGAGATAGGATATTCTTTTTTCATTCATTCTTCCATGAGGGAAATTGACATAAATGGTCCACTGAAAAAAACTATTTGCTCAAATGGCCCACAATTGAAAAATTGTTTTCAATGGACCACCATATTAAAATAATGAATCTAAAAATGTTGGAATTACGTTTATACCCTCAATTAAAAAACAACCGTTGGTTTCCCTCTCTTCATCTTTCTCATGCGTTTCAACTTCTTCCCCTTCTTCCTCTCTTGATCTTTCTCGCTCGAACCACTGAAGTTATTCAAGTCACTTCTTCTTCCTTCTTCCTCTCTTAATCTTTCTGGTGTATTTCTTCCTATTCATTTCGCCCATTTTTCTGTTATCGTGCGTGCTTTTCAACGCCTCGCGGATTGTTCCCGTTGAACGCCTTCRCCTGCACCTCGCCCGCGAAACCAAGGTTAGGATCTCATCTCACTAAACCTACACTTAATAGTAATGGGTCATGTTTAATTTCGCTGTGGAGTTCTTCTTTGACGTTGTGGGTTTAGGGTTTTAGTTTGAACAATTATGTGAAATATTTATGTCTTTCGGGCGAATTAGGTAGAAATTGTCATGTGTTTTGAGAATCTCTTGAATTGGGTTTATGACTTTCTGCGGTTTCGAGCGAGATTGATAAGTTTTTAGAAAGTATTTAGAATTCGTTGGAAAGTACGGGCAAATTGGGGATCTGGGGTTAATTTCTTGGTGTAATTTCTCGGGGTATCCCGGGYGAGATTCAACGAGAAAAAGAGCTTCGAAGAATCTCGTTCGAGGTACCACGAAAAATGAAGGTTGGGGTGCTTTGCGTTTGTTAAATTTCTCGGGGTTCTCTCGGGAGAGATACGAACGAGAAAAATCCATCTGAGGCATCTCGTTCGAGGTACCACGAGAAATGAAGGTTGGCGTGGTTTGCGTCTGTTAAATTTCTCGGGGTTCTCTCGGGCGAGATATCGCCTCGAGATATTATACAGCTTCACATTTCTATCGGCTGCTTTCACGTTTTATCTCGCGTGCTAAGTGTGATATGTTATTTCTCGGTGGTATCTCGCCTTGGATTGGCACGAGAAATTGAACATAAATTACGCTCGAGGTACAACGAGAAARCACCCGAGAGAATTGTGAAGCTATATAATTTCTCGGGGCGAGATCTCGACCGAGAATTCTTCCAGAATTTTAACAGAACATTACCTGACCTTTTTTTTTCCTTTGTCATTTTAAATTTGCATATGTTTTGTATGGCTATGATATTGAATTGTGTTTTTACTTATATTCAGGTTTAAAGTATGGAATTGAG